TGTAATTTTTAATACTTATAAATAGCATATAAAATTAATTATTTAAAAGTCGTGTAAAATAAATTTAAAACTTAACAAATATATCTATAGAAGTTGAGCTTATAAATATTATTATGTATCTCGTTTAAAAATGTTGAACATTATTGCAGCTAGTATTTAATATAGACAAATAAACTAAAACTGTTACAAAATACAAAGTTTGACTGTAAATAGACTGTATAGTATAACATAAAACGTTATCTTAAAATATACGTTTACAAAATCAGAGCAATAGCTAAAATTAGTATTTGTATTATATCTAATTTTATCGCGATTTTACCATAAAAAACTATAATCTGTCATAAATCATAATTCATGATATTAACTAATGAGTATGACGTATTGGTTTGTATTTGTTAGCCACGAACATTTCTAAGAAAATTAAATATGTCACATTGTAAACATTTTGAAAAACATTTCTAAATACTCACGATGCTAATGACACTAATGACAGTACTTATTTTACGTTTGGTATTGACGAAGAATATGTTCAGTAGATACAATGAATAGGATTTTTGAATCGTTCATCGTCAAAATGTATACCTCGATCGTCTTCTTCGAATGTGCAAACGAAATTTCACTCCTCGAAACTTTTAACATAGTTTAAATAAAACGTTATAAATTATAATAATGTGTTATACGTAAACGTAACAACGATGCTCTCGAGTTTTTAAATAAACGACGGCGTCGTCGATATTTTTCACATACTTCACTCAAACAGTGGCAAAAAAGATGAATGAAATTTATTGATCTCTTATCAAATCGTAAGTCTCGTGTAGGCTAATTTAAAAGAAATTAAAATTTTTTTTTTTGTATTAATTTAATAAATCATTCATATTTTATTATTAAAGGAAATAATTAAAAACAAAAACTTAAATAGCATACATAAAACAGCTTATTATGTATGTTTATTAATAACACCTGTATTTTTTATAAAAATATTAGAATACTATTTTATCGAGTTACTTAAAAGTTCTAACAAGTTGTGTAACTTTCAATAACTTCAGTGAACATATTTTTTTTTTAGTATTATGTCTTAAAGAAACTATAGTGCCTAGTGGTTACTTAATAGTTAATATAGAACATCATGGATGATCTTTAGAAATAAATATTTAACAGTTATTATTCGAGATTTTTCTTTTGTGAAAAATTAGGAAAATAAAATTACAACTTAAAAAATGATTGTTTCATATTGGATTGTGATCTTCAACCTAATGGCCTTAAAATTACCTTTAACATTAGAGAAAAAAAATTCTAGTTGTAGCACTGCTTTATGGGTATACTTAATAACATCAATTATTGATGAAAATATTTATTTTTTTCAGTTTGGTGTTGCTGTAGTAATAACCAATCAAGTAGTTGCTCAAGTGGGTGGTGCTTCTATGTTTGCAGCAGATCCAAAAAAACCTGTTAGCGGAAATATAATGGCTCACGCACCCACAACTAGATTGCATCTGCGTAAAAGCAGAAGTGAAACAAGAATATACAAGATATATGATTCTCCTTGTTTACCAGATTCCGAAGCAATGTTTGCTATAAATGCTGATGGAATTGGAGATGCTAAAGAGTAGCTTGATTATAATTTGTATTTTATTTTTTGTTGTCAAAATTTCAATTTATAAGAATATTACTATTTAGAATATATTCAGTTAAAGCAATTAATTTTATTGTAAAATAAAAATGGTAAAAAAAATTTTTTTTTTTTGATATTGTTAAGCTAAGAATAATACAATTATTGTATTACATATTTTTAAATGATTCTTATGTTGACATGTTATTTTGTGTAATTGTCTTTTATTTTAAATATAATTTATCACATGCTTGTATATTATAATTTGTATTATTTTTTCAGAGTTACATTAGTTTATTGTATGCAATTATTGTATTATCCTATGCGTATCTATTGTAAATATTTTATAATAACTGATATTGTACTCAATCGATATATAAATTATACATTAAAAATTTTGATCTGATGTCACCTATATGCCTTTATGACATAGTTTATTTGTTTGGATAGTGAATTTAACAGTATTATGTTATAAATACTTCCGTGTTATATATATGTTATGTATATTGTAAGCACTGTATAAACATAGTATTCAGCAGCACAAATGGGCCTCTATAAATCCAAGAGTTCTTCATTTGTATATTTTGGTAGATTCTATGAGCAAACACGTTAGAATAATTATTTTATTTTTGCTCACTTTTATTTAACTAAAATTACATGAATTGGGTGTAATTACATCATGTTGATCATTGACCACTGTTCTATGATTCGTATTACACAAGCTCTTTTTCAACTATTCAACAGCAAATTTTTTTTTTTAAAACAAATTGTTTAATTATTGTAATATTTATTTACTTATTAGAAATGAAAACATTTTACATTGATATAGTTTTATAAAATGTATGAATATTATAAGATATTAAAGTTACAATCAAAATGCATTACAAGCATAAAATCGATGAAGTATTTACCTATTATTATTATTTATTAGACATTGCTAAAATACAATTTTAATATATTAAAAACTATACACTAAATAAGACAAGTGTACTAATATTAATCATTGAACAATTATGAACATCTAATACTTATGTTTTAAGTTTATATTAATTACTTATCAAATTTTAAATCAGCACAACACATTTAATTAACACTATAGATAATATAAGGTTTCTAAAATCTAAGATATAAAATTATGATTACAAACATTACATTTTTATTATAATTTAAAACTTAATTAATACAATAATTAATAGACAATAAATGTTATAATATTTGTGCATAATTCTAAATTTTGTTTTGATGCTACGCATAATCAAGACATTTCAAAAATATTTTGAGTTTTCTCCTTGAAAATTCAAAACTACACTAATTATTAAACACTTAAAATTTTTAAATGTTGTGAACATTAATTGAATAAATATAAATCATTTTAAATACTATTTTATCAAAATAAAATTTAAAAATAGCTATATTCTAGTTAAAAAAATTATAAATAAATCATAAGGCTTGATATAATTATGTGCTCACAAATCTTATTTTTTGAGCTTCTTCCGCGTTCAATACTACAACCAACTATACTCACTTTTCCCACTCAAATAATTATTTTGCAAACAATGCAAATATGTCTTTTTCAATTCATATTTTAATTTAAATTTCTAATTTTAAATCTAACTTTTTATTTACTACATTTTAATTTAGTTTTGTACTTTTTATCTTAAGAATATATCAGTTAGGAGTAAATTATAAAATGAACAAATAATTATTATTTGACATACTTTTTAATTGTGTTTAAAAGCAAAAATTTTAGTTTTGTTATGATTATATAATTATAAAATTTCTGAATACTGTTATCTCTTCATAATCAAATAACAAAAAGACAAATGACTGATGAGTATCAGATATATTTAAATGGTCTATTAGATGAAGTTAATTAAGTGAATCTTACTCAACCTGTTTATTTTTTTTACAATTTACAAGGTATCAAATAATATTCATAATGAATTGCCATTATAAATATTATAATTTCTGATAATAGCAAAACTAATTATTTTATTATTAATCATAATAATAACTTGTAGAATTATATTTTCTTTAATGATTTATTAATACTAGTTGATTAAAGAGGAAAAATAATATTGTTATACAACTACTTTTTATGTAATTTTAATAAAACCAAATATTTTTGTTTTTAATACATTTATTACAATTATTTTTCGATTAAAAATTTAGAAGTTAAGGTAATAATATTTAAGTACCTACTACCTATTTATCAAAATAAATTAAACAAGCTATATAATAATAGTTAAATAATTTAAAATTAAAATTATTTATATATGTCTCATGTACTTTATTTATTTTACTAAAGTATATAATAAATATTATATAAGTTGAGGTGAATGTCAACATCTACTATAAATATGCAGATTTTCTCAAAAAATAACATTTACTGGTACGTCATTTATTAATATCAATAAATTATTTTGAGTGTTTCTATTCTATGACTAAGACAGGTTTAGGTATATTATTTTTTCAATGTCAGCACGATATAATTCAGTTAACTTTATAAAAGTACCAGTTAAACAGAAGACATAAAAAATGTATATTGAAATAAGTATAAATAAAATATAAGAAAACAATTCCTGTTTTTTGAAAGAAGAAAAATACAATAAATATGTGAAGTGAAAATTTAAAATTTAAAGGCAAAGAAACCAAATAGAAAGCTGTACATAATTTATATGATATCATAGAATGTCTTACACATCAAACTCATTGTCTCATGAGTCTAAAACCATCTATTTCATGAAAAATGATGAAGTATATAACATTTTATACGATACTCATGTCAAACTAAGCCACAGAGGAACTGCTAATGAATTACAAAAGAAATATAAATCAATGATCAACAAGGTTTCCTGAGGTATTATTATAGAAAAGAAGCTAAATGTACACAAAAAAGTGTAGTTACAAAAATTCTGGATTACTTTGAAACTAATGAAACTTAAAATGCTGACAGCTTTTGGTATTACAACAAATAGTATTAAAGTATATAAAATACTTATAATTGATTCTGTTTGTATTTAAATATAAAAAGTATTACTGAACACTGGTATATTTTTTTTATTGCAATGCCAGTATACACCAAAAGCTGATGGTGAATATTAACATTCACTAGTGGAAGTGGCTATCTGTAGAAATGTTAACATACACCAACATTTTTTAGTAGAGATGTTGACATTCATTGATTGTAGACATTCACCTCAACATACATTAAAGGTATATCTAATAAGTAATTTTATATTAAAGATAAAGTATTATGAATAGTGATCCTCTCATGAGGTAATTGAAAATGAAAAACAAAATTTGTCCCATCTATTTGATACTAAAAAAATTATTTCAGCCCATACTGAGATTATAATTAAATATTGATATATTTAGGATAAAACATAAATATTAAGATTCATTTTATATAATAGGTAATTAATCAAAAATTAAAATACCGATACAATCAGGATTGTGTTTTCAATGCTATTTAAGAACTCGATTCCGATATTTTAGTCTCGAGTTCTGGTATCCATTTGGAGACCATTCTTTCCAACAAATCTAGAAGGTTTCTGGCATAACCATAAAATCTATGAGTCTTCTAAAAAATATATTGATTATATATTAGAAATATTAATATATTGACATTAAACAAAGGCAACAATAATTTAAGTATATTTAATTACATTATTAATATTAATTCTGTTTTTGTTACAGTTTTTATCATGTTAAATTTACATTATCAAATATGTATAATATAATAAAACTAATTTTAAAGTTTAAGGGGATTAGATCTTGTCTTGTCTACCCAAATATATGTATCTAATGTCAGTTCTAGTGATTGGATTAAGGTTCTGAAAATGTATTTGAATTTTATTTGAAAACATCTCCACTTTTTAAAACCTTCAAAATTAGATTTTTAAATTAACCTAACCTTAATAATATTAATAACCCTAATATCTTTATATTAGCTCACTATTAACTTTCTCTCTCTCATCTATGTACTAAGTATAAAATTTGTGCTTAGACCAACTGAACCAGCTATGTGTTGATAGGTATAGAGTGAAATGATCTATCATTAAACTTAAAGTTAATAATATTATCTGTGTTCTTACATTGTTCTTTACACAATTTTCATATTTTTGTGAGAGTTATGAATAAGTAAACAATTAAAATTTAAAAATGCTCATATTATGACTCAAAATTAAATTACTGTAAAAAAACACAGTTGATATTTTTAACTTTTAGTCTTATAAAAGGTTAATTGATTCTAGCACTAAAATTAATATTATAATGTTGGTTTTGATAAACATAAAATTAGCTATGTTGTATGCAAGTCAAAGAGAAAAAATAAATGATGAACCGACACCAACCAACTTAAGAATTTAAATTATGAATTATTTAAAACTAAAAAGAAGTCAATTTTAAGTATACTCCATCACAACTTCAAATATGTGAACAGAAATTGTATCGAATAATTAGATTAGTTAAAATACAAAATATTAATTATTTTGTTAATATATTATTGACATAATCATGCACTTGTGAGATTGCTCAGCAATTTATTTTAAATTATAGTCATACACACTAATGAAATTCAATTTACATAAATAATAAAATTTTATGACCATGTAGTTTTAAATCTTTAATACATATATACTATAGTTACTAAATGACAACAAAGATTTTAATGTATGTCTATTTTAAATAATCATTACTCATCATTAAGTGATAAAAAATGTGTAAAAATAATATAAAAATTGTAAGTTTATTGTATAGAAAACAGTTTTTGATAATATTAAATTTAACATGTTGAGCTCTGCTGAAATTGTTAGCGTACAGCTCGCATCGCTACGTTAAAAATATGTAAGGTCAGCACTATCGACTATATCATTATATATCAAGTAACAAAAGTATACTTTTCTTATCAATGATCGACGTAATTTTGGGAAAAAATAAATACCCACACCATTGTCTATTATATTTAATATTTAAAGTACTTCGGAGAGGATGTTATAACTTGGTTTACCTATTAAGGGGCCACAAACTTTTAGTGCCTAAAGACACAAAAAAAAAATAAATCCCTCTTTGATTAGTAAGAGTATATAATTTAATTTTTTATACTTACATCATAAAACTTCAAACTATCTGTAAACACTTTTCTTAAATCATCAATAACTTGATCGATTGTTATATAATGTAAATTCGATTCTAAACGATTGTTGATAATAGCTATATGTATTGGATTGGAAATAGTATCGAAAAATTTTGGGAACTATATTAGAATAAAAATACACTTATTATTAAAAATTATTGTACAAAGCAAAAATTAATATCTATGTATATAGTTTAACTTACAGTTTTCATACTAGGATATTCTCTAAAATGAATATTATCATTTTTACTGGACAGTGTCATTATTATATGCTCAATAACTGTACGTCCAGGTTCACCATTTGAAACACCAAGATTGGTTGACCTCATAAGTTTCAAAGCATCGAAAAATTCACGATCATTGCACATGGTACATGACCAATGAGGACTATGTATTTTAGGAAATTTATTAACATAAATAGATATTAATATATTAAAATTTAAAATAATATTTCACAATACAATACATGTATTACATAATATAAAATATATTATATATAATACACTTTAAGTTTAATTACTTGGTACCTAGTAGGATATTCAGGAAGCATAGGCATATGGCAATGATCATGATATTTCTTTTTACAACTATGACATTGCATTAATTCATAAAATACATTCTGAAGACAGCATGCACATTGATCGGGAACAATATTATCAGAATCTAGGACAAAATAGTAAAAATAACAATTAAGTATCATCATCTTTAACTTATTGAATATCATATAAAAAATTTCAGTAGGTACGTAAACTAGATAATTTTTATATTAATGAGGTAAGTTTTATCATAATCTAAGATGTACAAAAATAATTATAAATAATATTTGTGTTACCCGAATAGAATGACATATTGATATTGATAGTATTAACTTCTTCTTGTGTGGATTGAAATGGAAATTTGAACTTTGGATGAATAGTCTGTGTCTAAAAACAATTCAACGTGAATATTTTTGTAATCATGCATAAAGAAACACTTTCATTAATAAAGATAATTGAATGCAAAATTGTATTAATTACTTATTATTTTAGAATTGTCTGTGATACGGAAGAATAGTCCCGACTGTAGTCTGTAATTACTAATTTTATTAAACACCGCGTTGGTTTCGGTTTCTCTCTAACCTAATGTTTGATTTATCGTGAAATCATAAAAGACCGCGAGACAAAGTAAACGTAGAAAACTAAGCATAAAACAAAAACACTAAAAACAGCAAAATCTGAGACGTCTAATACTAAATACAGTGCTTGGCAGATGGTATTGTGGCGGAGAGTGGGTATATGCGCGATATCGTTCAAAACTGTTATACTACAGACATACCTGTCTACTTTTTTTGTCACGACGATCCGTTTTTATTCGTTTTTAGTCAAAGAGCATATAAATTATTAAGTAGGTATTGCGCATTTGCGCGTCAGAATGAGAATCGCTTTTGTCGTGTTGGTTCGCCATTCGCCGAATGTTCACCCCTCCACCAGTGACTGTTACTACAAGGGAAAACAAAGGCATAGCGTCGTAACGTTAGTTTCCATGATTTTTGGGTGTGTCGTTTTTTTGAAAATAATAATATTGTTCCATGCTATTACCTAACCACGTTTATAATTCTATCTTGTTTTAAGTTACCGTCATCTTTATTCCCGGCATTTGTTAATTGTATTGCCTATCCGAGCCGTTCAAAGGTACTTTCCAAAGATCAGTGGTTTTTTTACTTCGTGAAAGTATATACTTGTTGCCTGTTTTTAATTTTTCGAAGCGTAAGGATATAATATCTGTTTATACTTTAATATTATGTCTAATTAATATTTTTTATAATCAACGCTACTAATTATCGTTTAAATAACATTAGCATTTTAGTCTAATTTAAAGTAATTTACCCAAGTATTATTATATACAATTATTACTATTTTAAAATATTTTTTGAATTAAATACTTTTAAGACAATGTTATCACTTAAAATAATTATAATTTTTATTGCAAATAATCCTAAAAACAGCTAAAAAAGTCTTTCACCACATGGGCGTTGCTAGAATTTTAATCAAGGAGGAGGCCAGTTGATAATCTTTTTTTTTTCCTTTTTCCACATTTTATAGTAAAATCTACACGTTTGGTATAAGAAATAGAATTTAGTTTAAAGCGCAGAGGGAGGGAAGTTCCCCACCTCGCTTCACACATGTTCCACGATAAAAGTGAACATCAAAAAGGTTTCCACGGATAAAAATGTTTAAGAAACGCTTCCATAGATCATATCTGGCCTTCGACTTTTGAATAATTTTGTGGTGTCTTTAATTTACAACTAGTTTAATGAGCCACCAGTGATTCTAGCTTTGAGTGTAATAGATCTATCACAGACATATTTTGTTTATAATAGACCAGTATAGGTTAATTCATTGTCAACAAAAAAATAATATTCTAAATAATACTGTTTCCTTTATTTAATCTTTTTTCAGAAACAGTTCCTCCTACATTTTTCGGTTACCCGGCACTCTAATCTCAAGAAAACTATCACCATGCACTGTCTAAAAATTTTCCATTTGTCCTTTTCTTACGCCCATTTGATATTCTGAATACAACTTTCAAGATTTTAAAAAACTAATCATTAATTACTTAATATTTAAGGACTTGGGATCTATTAACTGGGAGATACTTATTTTAGAAATTATCTCACAGCGAATGCCATTATACCAATATTCTAAAATTAACTTTTCACCACCGAGTCAAAAGAACTTAAAGAACCTTTTATTCAAGAAGAAACGGACCGATAAAATGTATAAAAAGTTCCATGGCATTAATTAATGTAATAATTTCTTGTTTTTGTGTTTGTTTTAAATTTGAATAGAAATGCCTATACAGACTTTATTTACATTATATTCAAAAGCAATTTATTTAACAAACCAAAATAATTTTGGGATCACATTTGTAATCTTCAAGGGGATCTACAATTCCTGAACAAATTTATCTTGATGAAATAAAATATTCTGATGAACAAGTTTTAAATCTGTTTGCCACATCTCTTCCGTCTACGTAAATAAAGTATGAATTCAATTTAAGCCGTATACTATTATGAATTCTCATTTAACCATACTCCATTTCTATTTAATCAAAAGAAGTCTTCGCAGTTCATTGCTCAATAATATCCTCTCGTGGTTAATTTTCTAATATTTATTTCTCATCTGCAGATTTACAAAATATGTTGTATTTATGTTGTTTGTTTTTGATAAACTGAAAATTGGCGATGTAATTATATTTCCAAGTTCTTTAATAGCTAAAAAATAATTTCTGAGTTGGTTAATTTCATTTTAATTTTATTAATAAACACATCAAATTACTTGAAATGCAATTGTTCATAGTTTCATCAAAATTATTTTTCAAATAAATTTCTAACCTTGACGTCACTTTTGATATATTTATTGTATTATTGTTAATATTTTCTAGTTTATTCAATACAACCCTAAAACAAAAGTTTTATTATATCGACAAATATATTATATATTATACATAGACACATAGTAAAAGTATTTAACTAAAATACGAAAAATCTTGAAACATTTATAATACCTATCAGATAGATTGCTGTGACTCAAAACTGATTTTGGAATTTCAATATAATATTTATTTTTGTTTTGTAAATTCTTAAATGTTACTTTATTTTTATAAGTTTCACCAATTGTGTCTAAAAACAGTAAAAACAATAAAATTGTCAATCAAATATTTTAGCTCAAATGCGCGTTTATTTATTTCTTTGTGTAACCTGGAAATGCCAACAGAAAAAAAAAATGTTAATATTTAAACATTCTAATGTTCATGATTAATTAAAATTAAAATTAGTATATTAAACATTACATTTTTGTTTCTTTACCAATTTCTTCATGAATAACCTATTTTTAATTTTAAAATTTTCAATTTATTTTTCTGTTTCTTCTAAAGAAAATTCTAGATTTTTGTTATTTTATCTGAAAATACATTATAATTAATTTGTATATAATGTAAATATCTAGTTAGAATCATTTTTTTTATTATCAAAATTAATTATAAGATTAACCAAAGACTACAAAAAATTATTCATGGTCCGCCATTTTTCACTTTTAATTTCAAATTATTTATATTATAATAATATAAGTAATTAAATAAGTAGGTATAAAGTACTATATCATAAACTTGTATATCATTACTAGAATAAAATAATTGAATTTATATATTATATTATATCGACATAATCTGGAAAAATATTTAAAAATTTAGTTTTTAAGTAGGCAGATCTCTAAAAATTTAAATTGTTTCTATTGTAAATGTATGTATTTCATTAGTGTTTTTTTAACAATAGCCGACAACAAAAAAAAACAACGATAAAAATAAAAATGTATTAGGTATAAGTTAATGTCTTAATATATAATTTTTATTTATAATTATTTACTATTTATCATATTCAAGTTTGAATTTTTTTAGTAACACATTTGAATTTATTTCATTAAGAAACTTTTCAAGAACTTTATAATTATGATAGGAATGTGAATGACAGAATTGACACAGCAAAACTAAACATTGAGTACTGTAAAAATTTACATACGTCTGAAATAAAAAAAATAAAAATATAATTGCTACAGGGTTAGTTTAATTTGTTAAAACACATAGGTATATATATTATGAAACCAACTAAGCGTAGAGAAAATTAAGGACAATTTTATTAGAAATAAATAACATGTACCTAACTTTAGTCCATTTATATCTATGAATAGTGGGTGTATGTGTTTGAAAGAGAAAGACAGATAGAATGATAAAAGTTAAATAACAATAAGATAATGGTAATTTTTTTAGAAAAAAATAACTTCATATAACACAATGTTATTATAGTATCATCTGCATCTACTTATCTTTTTTTACAATATAAGTAAAAAAGAATATTGGAAACTAACAGTTAATATATTAATATTATGTTTATATTATAATATTATTTGAAAATAATTTAGCTTTAAAAAAATAAAAAGTAAAAATAGGAAACAATATTTATGTACCTGTAAAAAAATTGGTTTACATTTTTATTTTAATATTTTTACAATTGATTTTTGAAAATGACCCACATCTTTTACATTAAAAAAATTTACTTTGATTAAAAATCTTCAAATATATTAGTTTATCTTCTTCGCAAGAACTTAACTTGTATATATAACATAATTATTGTATAGAAAGTGCGACATTTCAATAAAAATATTGAATCTCTTTTTTAATTTTACCAATTTTTTAGGAATACGATTATTTAATCTCTATTACGAGAATTTTGCATTTAAGAATTCATAAAAAATGTAGCATTTTTAATTTTTGATGTAATAATAATAACTCAAAATACTGAATTGTATCATAGCTAATGCATACCTAATGTCTTCTTTCTAATTTGCTCTGATGAATAATTATTGTTCGTTTTTATACATTTTTATATTTCACTTTACATTGTTATTTTTAAAATCAAAGTACTATGCACTTTGTAAGCAGTCTTTATCTTTCAATGAAAAAAAAAAAAAACAAAAAAAATAAGTAAATATTGAAATCACTTTATCTAAATAATATTCTTTTATGCAAAAAAACAGGTCACACGCAAGTCACTCAATGATATCAAAATAGACAATATTTTTCTATTTTCATATGTACAAATCTAGTAAATGTCTGGCTGTATGCATAGTAAGAGATCATTAGTAGCAATGTGTGAAAAGAGTAGGTCGAACCTTAGTGGCGGATTGTGCCACCGGGAGATCGGAGCCTGGTTATGACTATGATCATAAAACTGATTTTATTATTTATTGAAATATTTTTTAATCATCTATGACTTATTCTATATAATAATATGTCTTTTTTCTTTGATAATGGGGTGAAAAACGATCACAATTTAAGATAATATGGTTAACCAATGATCTATGATAAGGTGGTTAATGTGTTTAGCGTACCTATTCCTACGTAGATTCAACTGCGCGGCGTGTAAACGATGTAGCACAGGCGTGCTCAACCTTTTTCAACTTATAGGCCGCAATAAAATTTTTTATTTATACTACGGGCAGTATAAACTTCACAGGTTTTTTTTTTTTTTTGTACATTTTATTTGATATAATAATATTACCTATCTTTATTCACTTATCGAATTTATGACCCTAATCGTGTGTGTTTAAAGTACTGAATATTTCCACATAAGTTGCTCGGTTAGGTTCAGGGGCGGACTGGGCCACTGTGCTACAGTGCATTTGCACAGTGGGCCGGTGTCATATTATATCCATAGGACTAGTGGCGGCTCGTGGGTTCTTAATGAAGTAGTACACATCCAAAAAAAAATATAATCAATATTATTGACTTCACTAAAAGATAAATTGTGTAAATTCCAAATTATTTTAACAGCCCATCTATTTCTTAAAGTTTTTGATTCTATCGGACATACATCAAAATATTTACAGTCAAGTAATTTAGATCTTTTAGCTGTTTGGTTAATGGTAGAAAATACAGTTGATGAAATTGGAAAAATAAATTTTGATACAATTGTCATTGAAGCAGAGAAATTTTCACAAAATATGAATGATAAATTTACAAATTTTGAATTGAATGATAGTATTATTGTGGAGGATAAATTACCATTAATACGTTCCAGACATAAGAAGCGCAATTATGATGAAATGTGTTCAGATGAATCTATTATAAATCCTATTGATAAGTTTAGAGTACAAATTTTTCAATGCACTATTGATCAATTAAGAACCAGTTTTATTAAAAGATTTTCGAGTAATAAGGAAATTATAGCTGATATTCAGTATTTATTGCCAAAGAATTTTCAACTTGCAAAAGACAATAATCTACCAGAATCAGCATTAAAAAAATTATCAAAATTATCATTAATAAACCATCAGAAATTAGTGTCTGAACTGAACCATTTTTCAAAAATATATAACAATATTGCAAAGCCTCTGAGTTCAAATACTTCAAAAATGTATAATGATGATGATACATTTCAAGATAACCAAGAGTGTGACTATGACAACTTTACACTAGATTGGGATAAAATAGATTCAGAAGTTAAAAGTAAAATATATTAAAATATGTTTTTTTATATTTAGTGAAAAAATGTTTGTCTTTTTTTTTAGTGTGTGAAAAATCAAAAGCCATCAATAATAATCATAGTTCAAAATCATGCCTAATATGTCTACAAAAATTAATATACCAATTAAATATGCATTCACCTACATATTGTAACTTGTACTCTGCAGTTGGATTTGTTTTAACGCTCTCTGTTACACAGGTTAATTGTGAAAGAGCATTCAGCAAGCTTAAAATAATTAAAAATCGTTTACGATCTTCTTTAAATCAAGACCATCTCGAAGCATTTATGCTAATGTCTATCAAAAGAGATATATTGGATGCTATTGATTTCCAAGAAATATTAAATATAATAAAAAAATTTTCATCATTGATGAACCAAATGCTATCAGTGTAAAGACCAAAGTAAATTATATAATATTATTTATTTTATGTATACTATGTATGTTATAATTAAAAAATTATGTATAATAATTCAAAATAAAAAATCTTACTATAAATTTTTTTTGGGTACATCAGTAAGTTTTAATTTTATAATATATATATATATTATATTATATTTTAAAGAGAATCAAACGTAAATCACAGTACAGAATTAATAAATTGAAAACTAAAAAATTAAGAGATTAGATGTTTTTTTATGCTATTATGTTAGGGCCGATTTATTTTTACAGAACAGTGGGCCGACTGGGTCCCAGTCCGCCCCTGGTTAGGTTAGATACAATTCTTATCTTTAAGTTTGATAATAGGTAAATTTACTCTAATGTTAAAGCTAACAACATAAAATGGATTCAGCTGAACGAAAATTTGCCATGTGTATGTATGTAAGACAGATACAACACATGCGGGTGCGGCGTCCTCTTAAGAAAATAACATTTTTTATAAATAATAATTTTCATTTTTTTTTACACCAATAGGTACAAATTTCTAATTTTTATAAAATGGTCACGGACTGGTTGGAATATGACCCAGGGGCCACGGGTTGGGCACACCTGATGTAACAAACAACGGCCTTCATACTTCTGGTGAAACGAAATCTTCCTAGGTCGGTTAAAATTTAGAATCCGCCACTGAGTCGAGTGCTTCCGTCTCTGCATGACCATATGACAATATCGCATTACACGGAAAACGGACATGAACGGCTATTTCCATCGAATAATATTAATTATTTATAATTCTTGAAGATTTTATTATACCTATTTGAATTGATCAGATGATTTGCATACATCCGTGAAGCGTTTGTGATTCCTACGTATTTATATGATAGATATTAGATAATTAGATATCATAAAATAATTTATTTGATAACAATGATAACTAATAAATAAAGATAAGAAATTTGGTGCCGACAAAAATTATAACGACTCCAGTTGATACTCGATAACTGTCTTAACTGTCTTAACTGTCTAACAATTGTCACACTCTCGAGTCTTGATACTCGTCCGTCCAACTTGAATTTACAAGTCTCAGAAGGAGATTATTATAGAATATTCAACAATCACAATAAATCTTTGCTCTACCTACTTGATTACAACGTTGCTCAATGCTCTTAATTGTAATTTGTAACTTACTCTATTACCTGTAAGTTTTTTCAAATTATCGATTAAAATGAACATTAATTATTCAAAATATTCCTTTTATTGTAGTTTTAGCAGTTATCAATTGTCATTTCATCAAATTCAACGCAATTCTAGTTCAAGTTCCGTCGTGCTGATGTACAACTGTGTTTACTATTCAAGAATACAATTAGTATTAACAATGTTTTATTAAGAAATATCATTGTTGATTGTGGAGTTTTTGACTTGCAAATGCCACAGACTACTGCAGGATTGTAGTATTGGTACTGAAATCAAATTGAACAATTAATTATAGTTACTATGATGTTCATTGCATAACATTGTTGTATATTTGTTTTTATGTGCGTAGTTTGTTGTTCGATTACCATCTATCAGACCTTCTCATTGGAGCTGTATGAAATACTATTCGCCAATGGAAGTATCAAAGTAAAATATATTTTGGAACTTCTTTTATTATGATACTAATTTAAGTTAATTATTTTCCAGAACCTAAAAACTGGTCAAAAAAGGAAAAAGAAAATAACACACTAAGGATAGTTGAATAGTTCCAAGAGAAAAGACTATTTATTCTATTAGATAAGTATATTTATACTCAAATTCAATAATTTTTCATGACATTTTTATAGATATGTCGTAGGCATATAGTCAAATCAGGCATTTTATTAAATGCCTAGTCATTTAACTAAATGACTATTTCGTGACAGGCAAATAATAAAAATACATTTTGTATTATTTTAAAAATTTAAATATATTTTCTATCAGTTATTTATTGCTATTTTATATAAAAAAAAGGTATTATTTATTATATATTATTTATTGATACGTAAAAAACGTAGAAAATAAAATAATAATATAATAACTATGTGAAATAATATGTTTAATTTCGTGTCCACTATTACTTTGTTTTAAAAATGAAATCATAAAAAATAAATAAAAAAGTTATATTATAACTACAAGTTTTTGTTACCTTTTACTTGTTGTCACACTACATACGATTTATGTAAACATAATACACGTATTAAACTAAATTATTGTACAATTCAATCGTATGTTCTGTATCTTTTTCTGTAACGTCGTAATATGTATGTCGTTATAATCGATAAGATTATAATTTGTCCCACAGTACTCAATATAAATAAGGTTCTCATACAATCTAGTACCTACGTTAATTTTCCAAGGTAAAAACCAATGGAACTTTTATTTTTATTTAATAAGAATATAATATAATACCCACTACTCATACTATACTGACTATAGGCTATACAATATATTTGTACTATAATTTATGTTTCACATCTAGTTAGTTATTATTTGTATATATTTATGATTTCATTTTTAAAACAATACTAAATAATAATGAACACGAAATTAAACATATTATTTCATATACTTAAGTGTTTTTCATATCAATAAATAATACATACCTTTTATTAAATATAAAATAGCAATAAATAACTGATAGAAAATATATTTAAGTTTTTAAAATAATACAAAATGTTTTTTTTATTATTTGCCTGGCATGAAATAGGCATTTAACTAAATGTCTAGGCAGATGGTGAAATTGCATAAACATTAAATTCTTTGACTATATGCCTAAGCATTTAATAAAATGCCTGATTTGACCATACGCCTACAACAGATACATAATACAAACAATTTAGTACAATAATAATAAAATTACAACAAATTATGATTAAAAAATATAAATATATAATATATGTTATAAATTATTATTAATTATTTATTGAGAATATAATAGGCTGCACTTAATGGGTTGTCCACACGTAAAATTTGTATTAAATAATGTTATAGACATATTTATTAATTAATAAAGTTAAAAAAAATAATTATTCAATTATTTTAAACACAAAATATTTTATTTATTTAGCCATTATTTACCATTTTAGACACTAGTTATATCATCAAAATAATGAAATATACAATTAATTTTTTATTTTTCAATCTTATCAAAATAAATATTAAGTATATTAAATCATGATCTAAAAGTTTATAATATATTATGTATTCTAATAAGTATTCTAAATTAGTCTCATTATCTTTACGAGTATTAACCTAGTATTTTTTTTTTTTTTTTATGTGATTGATATCATAATTAGTTAGTCAGGTGATCAGATCGGTTACAAATATTGTAGTACAATTCAATTATTTTTTCTCTATTAATATATGAAAAAAATATTGTTTTATAATAACAAATTAATGTAGTTTCTTGGTAAAATTATATTTCTATAGTATTGCTATATTTTTAGTGTGTGTCAATTTTATAACACTTATTATGATATAATGTACCTAATTTTTTAAATAATAAAAATATTTCAGGTATTTTGCCATCAATGAATCAAGATACAAATACAATTGTCTTAAGATTAAACATAATATCATCAAACTAATCTTTGTATTATAAAAAATTATTCCATTAAATAGTTATTAATTAATAATAATAATAATAATAATAATAATAATAATGTATTGTCTTGTCTAAATATTTGTAGTATAGTAAATCAAATCCAATGTTATTGAAGATGATATTAAAATAAGTATAAAATACATTAAAGTATAAAAGGTAAAAATAAAAAATTCTAGTTAAGTAAATTGTAAATTTTAAAGGTCTGATTAGTGTAGGTTATGCATAAGATTTAGGTAATGTTATTTATCGAATGATATCATTTTATTTTAATTGTTAAATGTATATTTAAGTAATAATTAATCTAGTTAAATTCTTCCATTGTAATTATATAATTATTTGTTATCTTTTTCTTAAAATACTTTAAGTAAAAAGGAATCAAAAGCAATTCTTACTCAAAAAGTTGCCCGTCATATTTTTATTTATTTTTTTGCACTGTAGGTTGGTGTCTGATATGTATCTGAACTTAGGATTTAAAACAGAATAATTATTGACATAATAAAGTGTAATAATATATCCCAGTTAAATTGAATAATATACATCTAATAACTTGTAATTTTATAAACTAAACAATGGGAGTAAGTCACATAAAATCAAGTTATTATTATCTACACTGAGATGCATAAGCACAATACACAAATATATGGTATTATTTTTAATCAAGTAAATAATATGTAAGTATTTTTTTAGGAGATAACCATTCAATATAATTATTAAAAATTCAGTTAAATAATATACAAATGTATTACTTTATATAAAACTATAAAGTGTTCATATTTTACCTTTTTTTCCTCTTTAGTTCATATTTGGTTTAATTTAGGCATGACAGCATATTTTGTCTATAAAAGAATTTATAATATTTCTTTATTTTTCTAACTAATTAAATTTTTGATTATTAATATAAGTAAAATATTAGTAATTATTATTTTTTTTATTGTATTTTAAGTAAGTAAAAAAAAAAATATAAAATAAATGAATATTTAGTAATTTTAAATCAATAGTTTTGCTTTTTATACTTTGATTAAATCATTTATCATAAATATTGATTTCAGTTATTGATGTATTTTTGATCAGAACTAACCTAACCTATTCTTTTAGATAAAAATTAAATTATGTAGCAAAAGATATACATGACATTTTGTTATTAATCTTAAATCCTAATGCAGAGGCACATTCATTATTATTAATTACTCAATAATTACGATAAGTATTAATTTTTTTTTTTTTATCAGCTTTTCAACACTTATAGAAGCAATTAAGTAATATTAAAGTTTATAATATGGTATTATAAAAATATTTAAATCAACTTGTGTGTTTATTGTTGTAAGTAAAATAAACTAAAATTAAAATTTCTTTTTTGATATAGTTAGATTAGTTATTGAATATTTATCAAGGATGACACTCACTCATCGGGTTCAATGAAACTAACAAATTTTAAACTAATGTTATTAAAAAAATAATTGTCAAATCATTTTAATTTATACAAATATTCTATTATTATTTATTAAAGATCAGAGGTTTTTATGCTTAAAATTACTTTACCATGTATACATTATTCAGAAAACAAAAAAATATTCTATCATACAGAATATACTTAATTTAGTTATATTGCTATTAAATTTGATAGGAATAAAAAAAGTGTATTTCAATTTATAAATTATAATGATTTAAGTACTTGTGACATTACTCAGTAGTATCTTTTACAAATGGTTATGACTTTATGAGTTTTATCACTTGTTATTTTATCAGTATAATAAATGTATATAATTATTATAAAATAGATATAACACAACTAATTTATTAACTTGGGATTTCTATAGTGTTTAAACTTATAAAGTCTTAAGTTTAATTTTCAACTAATATTTCATAAATACTTTCAAAGCTTAATTAAAATATAGAGACATTTTTAAAAACATGAAAATAATATATGGTCCTCGGAAAAAATTTGTTAAATTACTTATTAATAAATAATATAGTATAGTATAATGCGTTGTATTATATTTTAAATGATTATTTAAAAAAGCTTAAGTTCCTTTAATAGGAACTTGCAAATCATATTGTTTAAGAGATTATAAATATTACAAAATATAAAATAAATAAATGGTTTTATAATTATTCTTAATTATCTCTACAACTATTTTATTCTAATAAACTCATCTCTACAATTAGTAAAATCTTCAATATTTATTAAATTTTTATGTAAATTTTTCTTGTATCAATCTTTCTTCTCCCATTTTTCTTGCTAAATAATGTTGTTACATTATAAGAATTTTGAAATCAGGTTTAGATTTATTATCTTGTCTAATTAAGATTCTACTCAAAACTTTTAACGAAATTTAGATTTAATTTATAAAAATTGTTTTAACAAATGCTAAAGCATACAAGTTATTCAAGCTATCATAATTAATATAAGAGAAATATTCTGTTCAATTTAGTTTTATTGGTATCATATCATAAGAATTAACGGAATGATGAATTGAAAATTGATAAATAATATTTACTAGAAAAAAATAATATTTAATTTAATCAGCTTAAATATTGCCTATACAAAACTCCTTTAATAAACGAATGACTCAATGAATAATTTTATTCGAATTATTTAAAGACAAGTCGACTTAAGAGTGTTAAGTTATTAGTCAATAATATTGTGTGTTAACAATATATCTTATTCTAAAATAATATAAATAGTTAATATAGAGAAAAATGTTGAATAAATTCATTTTTACAGAAATGTCGTGTAATGTGTAAAAATGATAAAAAATTAAAAATTAATATATTTTGTATTTATTTTATAGTAATACGAATTATTTATACAATAATTCAACCTTAAAACATTGTATTACACATAACTACTAGAATATAAATTATAAATATTATATAAGATAAAATAATACATTATTTTAGTAAATTATTGGACTGTATGTATTTAATTCTGCTAATATTTGATTAAAATTTTTTTTTAATTATTGAATACTCTCGTACTAAAATATTTTTTTTGTTAAACGATAATACCAAATCGAAATTAAGTTCTAAATTTAACACAATTATTTTTGTACTATTTTTTTTTTTTTTTTTTTTTTTAGCATATTGCGTATTCCGGAAGAGAGCAAGATTTGGTGTAGTTAAAGTTATAGCTATAGGTAATTAATACTGCGGATTTTCTTATTGCTATTAAAAGTGCAAAGCGCGATATTGGTTTTGAAGCGATTTTGCCACATTTTTGTACTTATCAGTGAAGTAATTTGTGTCAACCAGCTCACGCGGTTTGTAGTGACGTTTGTTGTAATTCACACGGGTTGTCCGGTTCGATACATGCAACACGTACGCGTTGACAGTCGCCTCAAGGTTATGCGCCGTTCGTTCTTCCGTCGCAAACATGCCGAACACTAGCTTTGTGAGTTTTCGACAAATCCTGTACACCAAATCCATCTTAAGCGACACTACAGTTGTGTCATTGCTTTCCGTCTTCGATTTGACGTGCTCAGCATATTCGTCTACCTTGGCGGTGGACACGAAGTGCGCTGTTTTTTGGTGCGCCTTCTCCAAGAATGACCGAACCACATTGTCGACGTGCTAAGGACAACGATACGGGATGAAACGGGCAGTAGGTACGACACGCGCGGGACGTGACCGGGAGTGAGCGATGCAAAACCGTGACAAAATAAAAACACATTTCTAAAATATGGTCAATGACGTTTGTGCAAATATGCTACATAACCTAGGTGGCACAAACGAAAAAAAAACAAATTTAGTTGATAAGATTGGTTGGTTCGTTAAATTGTTCGTCGTACCAAGACGGTGTACACACTGCACAATAAAAATAACGAATTATTATAGTGTGTAATTACAATTTCTATGAAAATGTTTATTTTAAAATCTAATTTAAATTAAAAAATTGTTTTTCATTTATTGGTTTTTCTTTTTTTATAGCAAATTTTATTTGTAAATTAATTTTTATAAGACACGACATTTTTAGACTTGAATACTCGTAAAGATAATTAAATTGTTTAAATGAATTGAGACAATTAGTAGATAATATTTGTATAAATAAGCTTACGGAATTAAAGTGTTCTAATGAATTATTTTTATAATTTTGTTACAATTACGTGATAAAACAGATAACTAATAATGGAAATGATACAGAAGCAAAAGGGCTATACAGTAATGTGCGGAGATATGTATGGAATCAGTACTAACTCTTAGGATTACATTTTTCTTTTGGTTGAAATTGACAACGATTAAGCTCCATTAAAAAACACCAAAGAGACATCTTTAACTCTCAAAACACTGGTGATTTGTCGATGTTATTAAAAATAACATTACCTCGAAAAGATTCACTCGGTGACTCATTGTGAATCTTATCGGGGACATAATCTCTTGATTAAAGTTTTCCCACAGAAACTTTTGTAATCTATCGTCGGCCGTTTCTGAAATCAGAGCCAAGTAATGCGGATCGTCATCAATCGGTTTGTCGAACTGTTTGAAGTTTTTGTTATCAACGTTGCTGATCATGTTGCAAACGAAAGAGGTGACTTCGACTTTATTCTTGGATTTTATCAGTTTGGTGGGAATTACATTGTCGTCGTTTAAGTGTTGAAGCCTATCGATGGTTCTACGCACGTCCACAAATATTTTCTCTGAAAATATCAATTAATATCGTATAAAATATAATAAATTTTTTATTTATTTCATTGAATGCGTTTACGAAACAAAGTACGATACGTTTATATAGACGTAAATAATTGTACGTTTAATTCCCGGGTGATTTTGCACAATATCGTAGAATACAGAACACAATATAAACGATAATGTGTTCAGACTAGATATTTCTAAAAATTTTAATGTATTGAAAAAAAATATGGCATTGTGCAAGAATAAAAAGTGGTTTTAAACGATATTTTTCAAAGCTGGAGTATATGTTTGGATGAGAATAAAACAATAAAATAATAACCCTTATTATAACTTTATTTTTTCAGATATAGTTTAATTTAAGAAAGTATCGCGGACCGCGGTTCAAGACTGTAAAATCATGTTGTTTTTTTGAGGATATTACATACGAGGATTTATATTAAGAGGACGTCGCACCCGCATGTGTTGTCTCCGTCTTATACATGTACGACATGGAACAGTTATTTAAACAAGAAGACATACCTATTATACTATTTATATTCAAGGGATAGCAATACACTATAACAGTATTTTATAGAAAAAATACTCAGTAGAAGTGTATAATATGTTGAAATAAAAAGAGGTGGATTTCCCCATTAATTTGCCATAGAACATTTAACACAGATAAAAATAAAATAATATCGTTTTCGATATTTTCAATTAGGTACATTTATCAGTGAAAATTAAGTTTTGTAATTAAGACAATTGAAAATAGGACTTTTATAATTCTGAAATTGAACGCTTTCCGCAGTAAGTGCAATAGTTAAAATAGTATAGTATTGACAGTATCGTACGGATTTGTTCTTAAACCTACTCACCGGAAATTTTCTTTTTCGTAAACTCGAATACGGCTCTCTCCGTGAGCCCGGAAACCATATAATCAACGTTGCTTTTAACGTCAGCCTCGTATTCGATTATACACTTAGTCAAGTGTATAAGATTAGCCGCAGACACGTTCGGTTCAGACAGCGATTTGGCCCGTTCTATCGTTTCAATCACCATTTCATCTGATATATAGTAGTCCACGTCTTAACAAAAAACCGTAAAACTTAATATGAATGCGAAAACATTCAAACGCGAAAGTATCAGTAACAATAAATAATAATTATAGTAGGTACATGATATCTACATATTCTATTTTTGAATATTTGAATATTTCCAATATCTCAATACTTATATACACTAAGAACTTGAAATATAATTATAGATATATATTAATACTTCGATGTACACATTAATTATTATAAATTAATAATTGGACAAAAAACAATAAATACCTATTTTCCTCTAATACATTTAAAAAAAATGTTTATTATTATTTATCTAAAATTAACTGATTTGATAAAAAAATATATTCCAATATATTTGAATATAAATATAAAATAGCATACTTTTCCTCGTGACTGATCAGAAGCTAAAGCTGTTAAATTAAAATTTTACATCCTAAGAAAAACGATAAATTTTACAATGTTTTTTTATCTGATTATCATCATATTTTAAAATAGTAAAAATTCTTTGATTTTCAACTTTGGTGGTGGTTTCTAGTAGAAACTAAATCTAGTTGGTATTTTGAGGTATCAAGAGAAAAAAATTCCTTGAAGTTTTTAAAATAATAGGAAAAACAAAAAAAAAAAAATTAATAAATTTGGAAAAGCAGAATATTTACGTAAAACTAGTTTTTAATAATAATAAATTTTTTTTTATATTGTAATTTATAAACAAATAATTCTGAGTACTATTGAATATCAGAATATGTAAATACAATTTTCAAAATATTCTGCTTTATTTTTAACTATTTATAAATACTTGAAATTTTCAATTTTACTTAGTTTTTTTTCTTTAAATGTAAATTTTAAATTTATTTTAGAATAGAAATTTTCAAAAACGTTATACATGATTTCTCAAAAATGGTTTATTTAACAACTAAAAAATGTCAAAAATTATTTCTTGTAAACATTTGAAGTTTAAATTTGGAAAAAAATTACATATTTTAATAATGATAAACGATATTTATTATTTTGATATAATTCAAAAACATTACTTAACGGAGACTAAATACTTTTACGTATAATATGAGTTTAATATACGTATTACCTATTTTAAACTAATACCATTAATCTATTTACGCTGTTTAGTAGTGTTTTACTGTAAAGTGTTATCGTTTAGTAAATTGATAAAATAAATATCATATATAAATACACGTTATTATTATTTAATTAAATATCAATAATGAAATAATAACAAGTGCAATATTTTCGGCAATCATTGAATCAACCTATCACAATACTTGTATTAAAATAAATTACTTCAATATAGCAATATCAAAAAACATATCAAAACGTGTGTTATACTTAATAATATAGGTTGACTCTATAGTCTAAGTCTATACCGTCTCTGGTCATAATCGTTTTTTGTATCCAACGATGTTTTATTAAATTTAAATTTGACACATACATTTTATAGTGACCCATTCGACATCTATATTGTGCCTACAGTAAAGCGGTACTCACATGGCCAAACTTTTTCGTTTTGTTTTAATGTACTTTACATCAGTCATGCTCAATATGTAACCATGGTTATCGTAACAGTAATAATAATAATTACGACGGTACCATTCATCATAATCTCCTGCACCAATGTCGGCGGCCGGCTTTCGTCCACCAAATCATAGTGCTGTTGTCGAGTTTTTTCTTCCGCGTACTCTTCGTTAAATGACGATTTACTGACCGCCAATGTTCCGGTATCGTTGGCTTGCAGACACAATGTCATTTTATCCCACAGCGGTGCCGTCTTTTCCCAAAACTCAGCATACTGATTGCATTTATTGGAACTCATTCTTAAATTCTGAATGCGCTCGATAAATGTGTAACGGTCCGTAGATTTTAATTTCTGCAGTACGAACGACAAAACGTCACAGTATAAACACACGACGACGATTCGGCAGCGAGTTGGTTGTGTTAAAATAACAATATTATGATACAACGATTAGTTAAAGCGGTTATAACCACGCCCACGCGACAATAACACTAATAAATAAGCACAAAATTTTCCAACAAAAATGTATAACATGACACACTTAATGTCGGAAACATTTCGCATGCCTGTTGGCGGTATTACAAGCGACAATGGGTTGCAGTCGTGTCGACCATTTGAATAAATACAAAAACGAAGAATTAAAGAAGAGTTATTAATATTACTATATGGTTTTGTTAATGATTCAGTGTTAAATTAAGCGTTATTATAATATGTGATAGGCATTTGATATCAAATAAATGAAAAAAATAATTAATTTTGTTAAAATTATAGACTAAAATTTAATCTTTAGAAGTTTTATAGACACGTAAATGTTTAAAATGTCCTGATTGCACATATTATGTTTATGTATTGCCTATGTAAATGGTCTACGGTTAAATTATGTTGTCATATTACTCACGGGAATGTAGAAACATTTTTCTGAAGATTCCGTTTCCTTTTCTATTTCTTCATTTTTATTTCCTATTTCATAAATCATCTCCTCTTCTTCAACTGTTGGATATTTGTGGTCTACACATTTCTCTATCAATAAGTTGTTGGTTTCTATCATTTTTGTATGTCTGTCGATTTTATTCCAATACCTGTTATAATCTCTTTCTAGTTTTTTAGCAAATGCAGAACGCTTAAGATTTTTTAAATTTGCCACTATTTTTTTATCTCTTTTTTTAAATTTCTTCATCAGATCCAGGTTTTTATAAAATTTTAAGTTATTTATCTCAGATATCCGAAACTTAATTTCATCAGCTTTAGTTTTATTGTCGGCGATTTTTTTAATTTTTTTAATCTTCTGACTATTTTTAAAATTCAGGATACGTTTCTCTTGTAATTCCCAATTCAATAATAATTTTCTTCTTCTAAAATCGGATTCCTGTTTAATTTTTGTTTTCCGAATTTCTACGGGGTGTAAAAATTCTTGAACACGTTCTAAATTGCTTTTGGGAACGTTAGATAATTTAAAATTGTTCATTTTGTTATAATTTAACAATATAATTTAGTCAATATAATTCCCTAAAATATAAATTAAATATGAACTAAGTTTTATAAATTAATAACTTGAACAATGTTTTTTTTTTAACTCAATGGTTGCTATACGCAACTATTTAATAGTTATCTTTAATAAGTGTTTAAGATAAATTTTATATGTATAGTTTTTGGTAACAACTATTAGCTCTAAAATGAAAATATTTCAGTTATAAAATTATACGTATTCATATTATTCAATACAGTTCATTCTTTAGCATATCAACACACTCGCACTCTAACACTACGAATAAAGATACAGTTTGCTATTACATCTCTTAGGTTTTTGTTTATTCCTTAAATGTGTAGACTTAAGTTCATTTTCTCAAAAAAGTCTTTATTAAAACCTTATTAAAACAATATATATATTTTTTACTCTATGGTAAATAATGATTAATGATAACTGAATGATAAGCTTAAAAATAATATATACGACAGTTTGTACGATATTTGTTTTAAGAAAATCACTAAAATGAAATGAATAAAAAAATTTAAAAATTTACAAATATTTATTATGTCCACGATTGAGTTAGATAAGTCTTTAATTTGGAAATAATTAAAATAATATTCTGCTTGAAGTATAATATTATATAGCACTATTTTGTATTTTTACTTACATTAGGTATAAAATTACAATAAATTTAGAGAAGTTCTGTTTTATATTTAATGTATATCTATATATTTTTATGTTTAAATCAATTCTGTGATTAAACTCAGATTTTTTAATCAATTTATTAACAGCTAACAGGTATTAAATATTAATATGACAATATAGAGATACACAAAATTCATAATATTTATGGTTTTCATTAATTTTGTAAAAATCTGAACTTAAAATGTATTTAAAATTAAATTAAACCTTGTATTTTTAATAATTTTTTACAAATATAAAAAAACTTATTTATGATTTTGCATTAAATTTTCAAGTATTTTCACCTATTTATAAATTTGTTATCAGCATTTATCAAAAAAAAAAAAAAAAATTAAAAATTAAATTGTCAATTTATTGTCTGTAAATAGTTCAAAAATAGTCGAAATATTTTTTAAATTATACCTTGAATAGAAAATTATAATTTAAACTCTTGATGAAAATTCCATGTTTTTACAATTATTATTTTTGAATTATAACATATTAAAGAAATCAATTTTGTCGTTAAATGGTTTAGCGTAATAATTTTCCTTTTCCTTTGATTCCGTTTTTTCTTGATCGTTAAAAAAAGTTGAATGAATGTAAATTCAACCTAAGATAAAGCAAGTAAAAATCATCTTTGAGTATGTTCACTTAAGTTTCTACGTTTTATTAAAATGCAATTTAAGCAGCCATAATTATAGGCTTATATCGATTAATTAAACCAGTGAAATTTATTGAGTTATAAATTATAAATGGAATCAGTTAAATTATTATCTATTGTTATCATGATAAGCTATTCTAGTAAAATAGAGTAGAAAGTGGGTATAAGTCGTATTCAATTAAAATTATTACCATATATTCTTTAAAGACCCTTTAAACTTAATTTAAAAGCATATTTTTAATTAGAGCGGTTCAACAATTTTAATTAAATTGACAATATGATTTAATTATTAATTTACATAAATTAACAATTTTTATTATAATCTTGCAGACGTCAATTTTAATACATATACATATACCTAAATTTATATGGTATAATAATGAACTGTATTGTTTCGATTATAATTAATTAAAAGTTATAAAATTATATAATATATATAAACAGACAAAGTTAAACATTAATATTCATTATTATTTTTTATAATTAAATGAAATTAAAAAAAATTTATTTCATTTTACAACATTTAACTTTTTTTCCAATCTAATAAAGTTATATTTACTACGACAAACGATGTGACTCTTTTATTATTATTATTATAAGAGCATAAATGTGTGTTGTAAAATATTCTATATTGAAATAAAAAATACGTAGCGGCAGTCTGGAAGGATCAAATTAGTTGTCGGCTGAATGAATTATAAAATTGATTATAAAAGATCAAAAAGTCTCTACAAAATTTAAAAAAATCTTTTGTGACATTTTCTAAGCTCTATGTTTACATAATGCAATTTTGTGTAAGAGTTAACACTTGACAAAACTTAAAGTTGTGTACACAAGGGTTTTTTGCAGTCAAGAATAATTTATTAATTTTTAACCATAGATAACATTGAAAATTAAGCATCGTTAAATTTTTTCTTTTTTTTTATTGCTATCAGATTTTATATTTTGAATTAATTTAATTCATTAGTTGAACATGAAAATTAAATTAATTTTAAAAACATTTTGGTTGTTGTAGAGAAGGTGAAATTATTTTAATCCATTGGTTGTTTTTAGTTGTTTTCGTGTGATTTTTATTTTTGAATTCTTAGAATTTCATCATTGTGACTTAGTTATATTAAAATAATCAACGGAATAAAATATCAAATTTATAAAATTATAAAATAAGTTTAATTTATGTGGTTTAAATTAATTCAGAATTAATTAAAATGAATGATAATATAATATCAAAATATTATCAGTTTTTTTTATTTTTATTTGGTTGATTTATTTAAAGGCATTGTTATAAATTTACTGTACAACAGAATAATTATATTCATAGTTAATAATAATCATACATTATAAATTGTATAATAATTATCAATCGTATGACACGATTGTTCATATAAGTCGTAAGGCACGTATAATATATTATTTTAGTGTTGTTTTATAGTTCCATTTGTATTCTTAGTAAAACTAACCTTATTATTGAAACTTTGAATTTCTGCATACGTCAACAGTGTCTATCCATTTAATTTTAATAGAGCGATCCTCTATTGGTCATAGTTAATTTTAACACCCTGCTAATTTTCTTCTTCATAAAAGTAGATCAGAGAAAAAAAATATGTGTGTGCACTGCAGCTGACATAATCTAATGTTATTAATTTCGTTTTCAAGTTCGTTAATAATGTACCGTGGTAGGTATACAATAATAATTATTAATAACTGTCTACCGGGATATGAGTATCCCTACTTGCCTTATGCCTCACTTCATAATACTACAATGCTTATACGATTTAATAAAATATATGGTGCGCAGAATATTATTTGAACGTATGTTTTAAGTATAAGGGTCTGAAACAAAATTGTGTTGAACGACACGACAATAATATATATTTTGGCCGAGAAAAACGAATCGAAAAAATATGTGCTTATCTTTAGATGGGCTGATGCATAAAATGTTTTATGACCAATATAGGACTGTATTTGCGTAATTTCGTGTAATAGTATGTTGTAATAATAACTATTACTATGCGCCAGACGGAGCAAAAAATAAATAAAGAAAAAACGACTCATCGGAAATCGGGACAAACACACGTGGGAAACAAATCGTGATGTGTTAGTATAGTATAATATATTATTATAATAGTCCAAGTAATAAGTATACAGCATTACAGCTGCAGATTCCGTCGAAGCGCAGCATATTTTTAACACGTTGCAGGTTTTGCGGAGGTTTTTCGACTTGGAATGATTTCACTCGTAAACTATTTATATATTGTTTATTTCAATTATACAAACATTTTCTTAAACAGTCAAGAATAAATCGTTGTTTATATGGCCATTGATACTTATCGTCTATACTTAGGTATTTTGTTTAGGCAGTAAGTACAATCAATAATTGGCAAATAACTCAAATTATTAGGGCTTATAACAAAAGTTATGATTAAAAAATTATAAAATATGTCTAATAAATATTATGACTGCCATGACCCAGGGAAGTTTAAAAATATTTAAAAACAAACATCTATAGTAGAAGATACTTATATGGCAAGCTTAATAAATTGAACATAAATTTTTGAAATAATTATTCATTTTATCTTAATATTATCTCGCGTGTATGGAAATCACACCATAATATTTCAGATATTTCAGATAAATATAAATAAATAATTAAAAATGTATTGAAAAATTTTACATTAATGTAATACTATGAGTAGGTAAATGGTCTTGATGATCTTGTAAATAACTTATAAGTACATTTTTTGCATATAACCTTAAGTTTTAACGTTAAACATAATATTATGTCGAAAATACTAGACCAAATATTATTTAAAATTAAAATGATAGATATAAAAATATTTGGACGTTGCCTCGAAATTTAATTTTAAGTAATTTTAAAAGTCTTAAAAAACAGTTACCTTATACTATTATAGTGACAGCATCTTTATAATTTTTTCTTCAGTTGTTAATCTATTTTTGAAAAATAAATATTAATATTATATCGTAGTACTTTTGTATGTTGCGTGTGATCTTTTATTCTCCTGTTTTTGGATCATTAAACAAGAGTGGTTGACAGTTTTATAAATGCATTAAAACCTATGTAATCTCGATAACATGTGTAAGTAAGTACCTACTATTGTCCCGAGTTCGACTTATTTAATCTTGAATTATTGACGAAATAATTTTCTAGCCATATTTTTGACAATAAAAATAAAAATAATTATTCTTCTAAAGTATTAATTAAAGAATAAATGTATATTTTAAACGACTTTTGTTGTCAAGAATTGTTTTGTTTTTATATTAATAGTGATAAAGTTTAGTCTCGGTTATAAATTGAAGCGTAAGAATAACACTAAAAAGTAGATAACCATTCTGCTGTGTAGTAAGTATCGAGTGTAAATCGTAATTGAGCCAGATCATTGTAATAGATGTATTAAATTTGAATTAATTGATAAATTATTGCAAAAAAAAAAAAAAAAATGGTTCTAAGTGGAGATGTTTTATCTGTAACCAATATTATTAAGTATATTTTATGATAATACGTATATTAATATTGATATTATAGTAAATATTCTACGATTAGTAATATAGTACGTTAAAAGTATCAAGTAACTATGAAAAAAAAAAAAAATAATAATAATAATAAAAATGTTAATATAAATATTTGATGAATATTTTAAATTTTTAAAGTTATTTGTTTTTGAATTATACAACAAAATAAAAATTGATTTTGTTCAAAATTAGTTTTGCATATAAATTGATAATTTCTTTAATATTTTTTTTTTCTATTTTTGACTATTTTGAAAAATACTGTAAATATTCAATTTTGATTTTTAAAAAGTACCAATAAGATCCAATTTTCTTCCAAAAATTACTCTTAAAGACGAACATTGAAGTATTTTTTCTATAAAAAGCATATATATATATATATTCAAAAAATAAAAAATAAACACCATCATCACAATCAACATATTCAGCGCATCATTTAGAATTTAGCATTTATTTTTAGATGATGAATCGTTATCTAATACAATATTTAAAAAAAAACGAATATTTTTGATATTTTGATTACCTAATTAATCTTATGGTATTCAAAATTATATAAAAAATAGGAAAACAAATAAATTAATGTCACAGCTACGTAGAAAACAATTACGAAAAGCGATTTTATTTAATTAAAAAAAAAAAAAAAAATGATTGTGAAACATAAATCTAGTGCGTAATGCGCATGGAATAATTTTACTAAACTGACGATTTAAGATGTAAAATTGTTATTTTTAAATTATTATTTCGTGATTATATAATATGTACATGTAAATAAAGAATAAATTCTGACGGAGTAGTTGTTGTCCGTGGTATAATACATAAATAATATCAACGACCAATAAATTACGTATCTAGGTTGGGTTATACATTAATTGCATAATAAAAAATAAAAAAGAATAGCTAGGTAAGCAATAAATTATACCGAAGCAACTCGTACAGACGACAATATTTTGGTCTCGTATATTTTTACATAAATTTTCGATACGTTTTTAATTACTACTGTAGGTAAGTATTAGGTACATTTATTTTGAGATATTAATCAAGAATGTCTACTCAGTATACATTGAAATAATTAAAAATTATTTCAGAATAGTTTATACGAATACAGGAAGTATTATAAAATAATAACAATAACAGTAAGTATTAATACTATTAATAGTAATCATTATTAAAATGATATTGCCTGGGTCATAAGATTTTTCTATCAGTTAGAAATGAAAATTATATAATATACATTTAAAAAAAAATTATATATTATTTATTTTTATGTTTTAATTATTATTTTGTACTAATATTGTATAAATCCGAATTCAGACAGAGACAACATTTTTAATTCTGGGTGGAGGTACAACTTTAACAAAATAGGTTTTAATGCTGGTAAAATTCTGAGTGGTGTATTAAATTATATATTTTTTTTTCAACTGACGTTACCCTTAGGAAAAGTAAAATGTTTCAGTCCTTAATTTTGTTGATGTCTTTGGTAGCGAATAGGATCTATAGTTGGCAGGTACTTTAGGGGGTCGAAAGTAAACAATTCTCAGTACCCACATTTCAAAATAATCTAAAAATTAAAAAAAAATATTTAGGAAAACACTTTATAGGAATATTTCTAGGGCAATCGCGGCGGGTTATACCAGAAAATAAAAAATATATTTAATATAATATAGGTAACAATATTACTATTATGTTAATTAATGTATTATAAAAATTATATACTATGTTTCGTATATCTTCCAACGCGTCCCTGGGCTGACCCGGTCCACAATCTAATTATTATTGTAACCCGTCTGTGGAAATATAATAAAATTATACCTCAAAACTCTCCCGATCAATTCATATTTGATTCTACCAAAATTCATGTATGTGTGACGTATTATACATTATTTTAATGGAATGCATTTTCGAAATAAGATATATATATATATATATATATATACATGCGTAATGGAGCTAAATGCCAATATCGTGTCCCCGAAGAACCCACGTCACGCCTCATAAATAATATCGCGTATTATATACATATTCGTATCTATGGTATAAACCATATATATATATATACCATTGCTATTTATAAGTTCTAAATTATATATATGTGCATAGTTTGGACATGGGTTCATCTGTGAAACCTCGGCGGGCACCTAGTTACAATATCGTTTTGGCGCATACTTATATATATATACATATATTTGTATATATGCGTGAATGTCGTTCGCAATAAAGGACTTATTATTATATATATATTCGAAATAATATTGTATATAATATACTCGGGGCGTGTAGCGGCGCGTTCACGTTATTTTAATGGAATTCCGAGACCATCGTTAACGATCGGGTAGCGACGTACACACAAACACATGATATATAATAATAATATTATATATACATTCGTATACATGTGTATTCGGTTTTGTTTGTCGAAATGGTCGGGCTCTGTGCTCTCTGCATTACGTTTAATACATGCACACGTCGTGCAGTGCACCGACAGTCTCCATGTGTTGTGCGATGAAATATTATTTTCGTGCACACATGGCGGAGTAGTACGACTAAACCGATAGGTTTGAGATACCGTCTGTCGAATATTAAATTGAACAATATTAAGAGGATGTAAAACCATCGAAATCGTACTGTGAAAACACATACCAACGAAGAAGTGAGAACACCAGTGATCACTCTTTGTGTGTAGAGTGTATGATTACGGAGGAAAAAATATACAAGTTTCAAACGGTTTTTTTTTTTTTTTTTAAAGAAATTATTTAAATAATAGGTACCCCCGTTTTTCAAAATAATAAAAGCAAAAAAATAACAGCTGTTAAAAAAATAAAAAAAATACTTAACCAACAGGCACATGTAATTTTTTTCAAAAAATTATCCTTTTTTTAGAAATTCTATATTATAGTATTTTCAATATTCTAAGTCGTTATAGATATAAAAACAGCCACCCCGCTTAAACATGTCTTAATTTTAAATTTAATTTTGTAATAAATGACTATATAGAACAACCAACAACGGCAATGACATGAAATCGCATGTAAAATGTTTTGAACCGGAATTCAACTATGATATTTTTATTTTTCTAAGAACGTCATTAAATTTGTTTGTGTTGAACTCGTTTTTTAAATGACGTTTACAGTTGAAACGAAAAAATGTAGATATTTCAAGACAGAGTTAAATCATCAAATTATTCCAAATGCATGTGATAAAATCTTTTTGATATCATAAGATATGCGCTTACAAATGGCCAAATAATTTGATTTTATTCACTAAAAATGTATTTTAAGTACAATAGTTTTTTTTCAAACAAATTAATTTTTAATTTGTTTTTAAATATTTTAAACGAAGACCAAATAAAACACAATAATTAGTTTATAGTTTATAACCCATTAAAGTGAAAAAGTATCATTAATATAATATTGACAATATTGTGACTGAATTCTATGTATTTTAAAACGCATTTGTATATTATTATTCTACTTATGTTTTACTACATTCAATAGTCAATATGGATTCGTAATTACAACAAGACTTGAACCCCAGTCATGATAAATGAGTAGATTCCTCATGCCTAGCGGCGGTAGATGGCGGAGAATGTCAATTGCAAAAGTAATTTCTTAGTAAACAAAAAAAAAGTATAACATTTTTTTTTGCGACGTTATCGTCGTACATCATAATATTATTAACCTTGAAGTCAAACAAACGACTGATAGGCGACAGTTTAAAGAAACGTCTACGTCAAATAGACTTGCCCTGTTTTTTAATATAATATGTTACATAATATTTATGTATTGACTATGGGCTAATGGACTATGATTTATTAGAGTTTAACATAATTGAATTGTTATGATATCAGAATGTTCAATTCGTCTTTTTAATAATTAGGTAGGTAGTATTTATAAATAAATAATAATTAAAAAATATTGTTCAATATTGAGATTAAAATTTAAAGAGTAGCTCATTTTTTTTTTTTTTTTAATATTTCTGGAGAAATAAATTATCTGAAAAACGAAAATGTAACAATTTTATAATGGTACTAAATAAATGCGTAGGCATAATACGTATTACAAGAAAATAAAATATATTTGATTGAGTATTTTTCAATACTAATATACAAATTATGATTTGTATTTAAAACGGAAATCAAGTATAAATTTTTATTTTCTTGAAATTTGTATGCAAATCCAAATGCCAATACGGTAAAGTATATTTTTGTATTAGAATAATTTAAAAAGGCAAGTCCAAGGGGGACGCACGTATCAGATTTAAGACTTTACAACAAAATTAAAAAAAATATTGTACAAAATATTATGGCGTTAGTAATTCTGTCGTCGTTGTCGTCGGGCAAGTATACACGGCGCAGTATCGACATACCAGCCCTTATCAGTTCTCCGTCCAGTTGTTTAAATTGCACACAAGGCGAAGAATGATAAGGACCGGTATGCGAAACGATATTTTCACGTTTCACGCACGTCTGAAACACAAAACAAACGATGTTTTAATAACACGATAAATTAGTAATATTGTGCGCAATGTAGGTACATAAAGTATAGTAGGTATATTGTGTTTGTGTCGTGTTTTTGTGACCGAATTAGGTGCGGCGGTAAGAATTCAACACAATGTCAAAATCATCATTCCACTCCCATAAAGACCAAATTTACGCGTGCCAAGTGATGAAGTATTGTATTCGCGTAAAATTATCAGGTACACGATGTACACATGCCTCGTTTTAAATTTGAATTTTTGAGCGGCTTCGGTCTAGTACGATTTGTTACCACTGTATCGGAATGGTAGTGCAAGCGCCCCCGTTCGCAGCCCCTGAGATCGCCCTCTTCAGCTGCGTTAATATATTGTAATACACTCACGCCCCGCACAGTCAGCACCAAATGTCTAATGCGCCATATTGAGCGTCATACGTTTGTAATTTTTGCAGAGATCACATTCTCGATGGCGATAAATCAACCGGAAACTTAACGCCTTATATTTTAAAACCGCATAGGTCATCGATACTCGCCGCACAAATAGTTATCGCACGTACAGCCCGTGTTTCGGACTCACCCGCGCGTGACAAAAGAAACGTACGAAATTTTGAGACTTTTCGCTCGTAAAATACAAATTACGAATAATTAATAATACCTAGTTTAATATATGTCTGCAGTGTACCTGCGAGCGCGTACAACGATACATCGTATGTGTCTCGTCCTATGGTGACATTTATCACTCGCTGCTATATAGGTATGCACGTAATATTATATCCACCCTCGGAAATAATGCATATTATACACCTACTCCGCGTTCGATTTAAAACGAGAAAAGTATATATAATCAATAGATCACGTTATTTAACGACGGGAAAAATGAATCGTGACGTTTACGCGCGTCTATCCCACGTCCGAGGAACGGAGGCCATATTGTATACGATCGTCGTCGATCGAGTCATTTTTCTCCGTTTCTCGTCGCACCAGCGTTAAACAGCGTCACTGCAATAGTCGTTTACACGGTTTATTGTAAATTGTATTGTGTATTTAAATAGTCGCATGTGCGACGGGGCTGAATACAATGTATGTGTTTACGGTATAAAATGGCGTATTATAATAATACATATTATAGGTACGCGCGCGGCACACGTCAACGGTTATAAATAACGTTCAGCGGGACTGCGACCGAATCTCGTACCCAAGGGATAGTTGCAGAGTCCTGCAAATACACTGCGTGTTTACATGTATAGGTAACGTGTATGTAAAATAATTGAAACAAAAAGCTCGCAAACGAAACCGTAAAACGCGGAACGAGGTGAATGCGAGCGCGACAGTTTAATGTAATGTAATGCGATTAACATATTATGTATTAATATATACTGTGCGCTGCACTATAACATAACCCCGGTATATGAGAGTATAGGTGTTATATATATACCTATATGTTCTACAGTAATATTATGTAGATATACGCTCGCATATCATTAAATCGTATACGGTAATGCACACACATACACGCGCATACGAGACGGACGTTGTTTTAATAAGTACCAATGCGTGTGCAGAGTGTGAGTTATACCTACTGTGTTGTGCGCGCATATTATATTCAATACTCTGGGAAGTCGCGCACGCGAAACGGCTGTACACAATTGCAGTAGGCACACATATTATACAATTGACTTATATACATAATATCATGTACCTACAGTCGTACAGCTGATGTATCTATATCTCTCTCTCTCTCTCACACACACACACACACACACTCTCTCTCTCTCTCTCTCTCTCTACATATCTGTATTAATAATTGTGTAATGGAACAACAACAACGTTATATACAATATACGTGACCACTGGTGCTTTTGGTACACATTACACACAAACGCATATATATGTACGTATGATTTATGAAATACATATTTATAGCACAGACACAGTGCGAGTTGACTGGACGATGGAGAGAACGCGATAGTTAGCGGTGTACGCGCATATATTACAACAATATACTGAACGGACGTATTGTATAGTAAATTATAATATTGTATACCTCGAGGTGTATGTGCGAATGTCGTGTTTTGTGCGGTCACGTTGTCGCGGTCCATCCAGCATCCTCGCTGACGTGATATTTTATTAGATAAACGTGCGCGGCGGTATACACTGCAGTATAAATGTATGATATTGGCCGTCTACTGCAGTCGCTATGGTGTACGGACGACAGGCCAGACGAAAGGCTTACTCCCCGCGAACTCTGCTTTGATATCTTCGTTTCTACACTGAAAATAAAGAATAAAAGTAAGTTTTAATGTGGCGTGGAACGTACGTTTTACTGTGCCGATGGACGCAGTTAAAAATAATAGTCGATAAAACATTGCAAAATGATTTTCGAAGACGAAATAAATCTGCCGCGCACCCCTAACGTCGTCGTAACGCCTTTACGACTGAACGTCAAATTCGCGTTGATTATATGCGGTAGTCGTGTACACGATAACAGAAATTTAATAAATATAAATCTGTCGAAATGTTTCACTAATAATTTACAAATTACAATTTATACGTGTCTCAGGCAGTCAAGCATAATCATCAGTATCGTAGTGGCGTCGCTTCGAAATATTCGGATGCAATGTATGTCAATTGACATGCTCGCGTTCAATAATAATAATAATCATCACCGTAAACCGCTTTTCGCTGTTGTCGTCTAATCTAACTTACTCACGCACACACACAAATATTTAATTATCCGACACCATGTGTTTCAAAACTACTACTATATATTATAAATTATAATGAATGCTACACCACTGTTTTGTCTTTGCGTGGTCGACGCTCCCACGTCGTTCAATTATATTTTTCCAAACATGATGTATTATTATTATTTCAATGACGTTTTTATTCGATTAACTTTTGAAAAATCTACACGTAAAACACGATTTTCTTAATTTTCGTAAACATTTGTTTCGATTCTCATTAAAATGTTATTGTTGATTTGACAGCGATGTTTACACGTGCTTACCTATACAAACGAGTACCTACATGAAAACGATTTTTTTTTCATCCACACGCTATGGTCATAAAATATATTATATGCATTATTTATAAACGTAATAAATAAACTGACGGAAGTAATTGTTTTGACAACAGTCCGTGTGTGTAATAACGAAAGACTGGAAAAAAATTTGACCGTTTGAACGCGGTGCGGTCACAGTCGGGTCGCAAACGATATTACAATGTATCAATAATATACGCTGCACTGTACAATAAATTTGGTTTTACAATCCGTTTTTATTGAATTATACGCCTAAAAACAGTAAAATCGAACACAAATGCCGTCACGTTTGCGGGTTATTATAACCAAAACTGCAGACTGTCGATATTATACGGTATTTTAAACTAATACCAGTGGCGTGTCCAGCACATAATAATTGGCTATACCAGTTTTGTTCTGTAGTATGTTTATAACTATTAGGAAAGATTTGTCCTATCATATGGGATATAAGTAATGAATTTTTGAATTTCTAATTTTGGTTGTTATCCTTAACATGGCTTAATTTTTATTTCAAGAATATTAAAAAAGTAAACAATTTTTAACAATATTAATTAAATACCAAGAAATATAACTTCAGTCTTAATTTGACAAGAATACAACAAAATGTTTATTTTTAAAACATTATCAGTGACAGTGACATTGTAATTTGTACTTCTTTGCAAGACGACATTTAGACAATGGACAAACCTTCCAATCCCTATTAGTTAATAATGATAGTATTGCCGCCATAGATGTGTAACGACCCACAGCACCTTTTTATATTGTTTTTTGTTACTGTAGTGTCAGCGATATAATAATAATAATATTCAATAATAAATATTAATAATAACATTTTTACTTGTGACAAAAAAAAAAAAAAAAATTAAACAGTCAAATAAAAAATGGGTAGGCCCGGGCCTAGTCGGCCTACCCTGTAAACACGCTACTGACTAATACAATAATATATTAATATATTATGTATATTACACCACACTACTATAGTTTAATAATGCTACCATAACTTAACCATATACTTTCAATAATATAGTACTTAGACTACCGTGCTGGTATTGTTGTATACCTACTGTTCAGAATTATTTATTATTAAGCGCATTCAACGTTTCACCCCGTATTGAGTCGATGACAACATCTGTCGGACATATATATATTACAATCATTTTGATTGCTTCAAATTCGTTTACAATATTCAATACGGTTGGCCCCGCACTATAATATGCAGTTTGTGCCAACAAAAGTCTCGTATCGCCCCACGTATCTCCTTTGAAAATAAATTTACATATTTATATGCGGGTTTTCCAATAGTATAACTTATAACAAACAGTTTTGCTTTAATGGTACATTTTTAAAATTCAGAAAAACATAATTTTTGTGCAGTTAAATTTTTAGAAATTTTGAAAACCGAATATTCCAGTTTGATTTTTTGTGTTTAACATAATTTTATTACAATATACTTATTAACTTTTATTTTAGTAATAAAACATTATTTTTGGCAACAAATATGTACAATATCTCAAATGTTAAAAACTTATGTTAATATAACTTGATAAATTTTTAATGTTGTAAAAAGTTCACATTTAAACATATTGATTTTTCATTAATATAATTCTAAGAATTTTGGGATATACTAAATGCCAATGACGACTAAGACAGCGAACGATTTACCACTCACGATGGCGCTTGTACTATGTACATTATTTTGCAATAAAACATATGAAAACATCTATTTTATCGAATTTTTTATCATAGAACATATTATTATAGTTAGCTACATCCGACGTACCGCAGTCCACAATTTTATTAAACTCATTTTTTATTCCTTCAATTACTTTCAATTACTATAATATATAATAAATGTAAATTATATCTATTCATGTATTGTATTCATTATTATTATTATTATTATTATTATTACCAAACATAATATTATTACAGCGTCGTTCAAATAAGTCTGTTTTTTTTTTCAATAAGGTATTGTAATAGCTATTATTATTATTATTATTATTCAAATCGTACAGTTTTCGATTGAAACAATAAATGTTTTTTCATTTCAGCGATATTCAATCAGAAGTGATGTTTATACATTGGGAATTTTAAAGTGGTTTCTTTTTTTTTTTTGTACGGCTCACGCATGATCGAATTCAATTTTCTTTTTTCCCCTGAACGTAATAATTAAACAAAAGGGCAGAAATAATTAAAAAATAAACACCCGTAGCAAACTAGCTATAACGGAAACAACACCGTTTTCATCGTCGCCCTAAATCTCTCTCGCTCGATTTCGAAACGAATAACTATTCGAGTTCCTGGTTGGCCTTGTCCCTCCATCGAAACTACCCACCTCCAACCAAAAATATATATAGAGAAAGGGTTGTATATTGACGCCGTTGTGCGAATTTTTTCGCTTAAAAATTCAATTATCGGTCGACATAGAAAGTTTGGAAAATTATTTACCCTATATTGTGAATTGCAATTTTATACAAAATTAGAAAATTGCACGGTTATAACGTGCATCGTATTTTAATAATAAATGAAATGAAAATATTGATTGTATTAACGTAATTTCCAATCAAGTTATTTGAAAATTGTACCACATAAAAAAATATATCAGATTAAAACGATAATCTTCAAACGTAATTAAAACAATTTGCTAGTGGTTATGTTGTGAAGCAATCATAAGTAAATAATCCATTATCCACTTTCGTGCTGTAAGCACAAGACACGAAATATACGTATTTTATATTTCCATAAACGTGTTTGTCGTAGGTATATCACGCGATTTACGTCATAATATTTGTTTCGATGTCGGACTATTTGAAATTCATAACATGGTTAAAATAATGTTATTACTTAATGACGAGATACTTATTAATAGGCAAATAAAACTAAGAATGCTGTGAGAAATATTAATTTCGATAATAATTTTTCTAGTTATTACTAATTTTTTCAATCAATTTATTTTGAATGTCTATTTACAATCTACAGCATATGATTAATTAATTATCGATTAACTTAATAAACAATAATATCTAGTTAAAAGAAATGAAAGACTTGAAAAAAAATTAAGAAAATATAAAAAGCGTTAAATATATATGAGATAATATTACTGTTTTTAAATTTAATCTAAATTAATTAAATATCTTATGATAAGAAAAAATTAAAAATTTAATAGTTCATAAGTGTATAAAAATTAACTTGACCAGTCTTGTAAAAAATATTCAAGTTAAAAATCAGTTAATTGTTTTAAATGTGTGTATTTATACCCACTATATTAGAGATAATACACAATTTATATACATAAAAAAATCTCTCTTATATCCTACTTGCACACACACACACACACACACACACACACACACATATGTATATTGTATATAATAATATGATGAACAAAATGTACAGACACATATTTTTTAATTTTTTTTGTCTAAATCACAGACACATTATTTCAAGCATACGACCGAGTCGCTGCACCGTTTCTCACACACATTTTTGCGGGCCGGCTGATTCTCCGTTTAAAAACGGGCGCAGCTGTGCACGGAGGGGGTGTCCCATTTTGTGTTTATAAAAGCAGTGTACACGCATATAGTAAACCCTCCAACACCTGGTCGGTAAAAAAAAAAAAAAAGAGATAAAGAAAACAGATTCCCTCTTTAAAATACGTCGACGAATTCCGGCGACCAAAGACAATAATTATAATAATAACAATAATAATAATAGTGTTGGGAATAATTATTAACGAGACGATCGACGGTATCGTACGTATCTATACAATACGATCATTTGTTTGTATAACGGGCACGCCGAAAATGCGCGTGTACCTATGTGTTTTTGAAATAATAATATAACTTACGGTTTTAAAGATGTTCGATCGTAAAACGGGACTTTAGATCGAACGCGAAATATTAGTGTGAAATACGCGCACGTATACCTCACCGTATTGTGCAGGAACGCGACGAACGAAAAACAATACTACATAATGAACGATTAGCAAACGACGCTTTCTTTCCCTGCGTGTGTACCTATAGATGTTTAACGCAAATTTTTCACTGAAATAAAATCCGTGCCGAATTCGCTCTCCTCCACTCTTCTTCCGATCCGATTCATTCTTTGTGTCAGCACAAAAACACTATAATGCGCGGGGTCATTATATTATAATTATGATTATTTCGGTCGTCATTTTAATTGTTATTTTTTCTTACCGCGTTGCTTTCGAAAGGTTTCATGCCGTGGCGA